TTTGGATGTTTTTGGACATCCTATAAATTTCACTTATAAAAAGAAAACAACTTTTCAGACACACCTTGGCGGCTTTCTAACATTATTTTTCAGAATTTTGATCCTTGTATTTTTAGTAACTGAAACAATAAAAGTTTGGTAACAGTAAAGCTCAATCAAAAATTCAAACCATGTTATTAATGTAGCTAGTGAAAGTTCAAGACTAAAACTTGATCAATCTAGGTTTGATATAGCCATCAAAATGACAACTAAAAATGAGACTATAGATAAGAATTTTGAGCAATATCTTCAAATTTAGTTAGGTCAGTTAGAATTTCAGTGGACTTATTAGCAATACAATTTAACTTATTCGAATTAATTTGAGTTGGTTAAATGTGATCAGAATTGATTTAATGGTGAAATAGATTAGATGAATAATATGAATCTAATTCAAAGCTATAAGTGTCCAGCTAATTTCTCTTTTGAGTTAAATGGGAGTTTTGCTAGCAACAAAAACAAAATGCTGAGCTTCAGAGTTAATCGATGCAATTAAAACAATCTTAATTCTAGAGGTAAAAAGTGTGCAAGTAATAGCGAAATCGATAAAGCAGTTGATAATCTAGAAATAAATTTGGCTTTTTCCTCTTAGTATTTTGATGTAGAAAATATGTCCCCTAATCCTATCAAAAATGTGATTAAAAATCACTTCTTCACAGGTTCAAGTTTGATATCATAGAACTACGATTACAAAATAAGTTTAAATTAAGCAGTTCTAGCTGACAATCCTGTTTTTAAGAATGTTGTTGAGAGAATTCGATCCTTTATTGATGCTCGGTATGTTCGATCATTTAATAGAGCTATTTTGAATGGAACATAGCCTTATATTGGAGTTTTCTTTGCATTAGATGAGAATGTCTAAACTATATCAAGAGATGTCTATACTCTATTTGATGCACTTGCTTTTGCTGGAGGATTATTTGAAATACTCACTATATCTGTACATTTTTTTATTGCAAGTTACCAAGAGAGTATGTTTTATTAATCATTAATCAAAGATAGTTTCTTGGTGAATTAAAATAGTAAAGGACAATGCATATAAAATGCTAAAATAGAAGCAGTTAACATGTACAAAAAATAATATAGCTTAAGCTAATTGTCCGGGAATGAAAATAAGAAAATATACTACTATAAGTACATCATATAGTAACTTAAAGATTGATCAAGGTTCATCTACACAATGAGATAGCATATTCGAAATAAATTCAAAGAGATATTTTGCACTAGAAACTCTAAAACTTTAATTCAGCTAAGACTTTACCAAACCTCAATTTAAAGATTGAAAAATAATTTTGAAATAAAATCCCTTATCTAATACAAAAAAAATGCTAAACTATTAGAACAAATTATATTTTCAAAGTATCAAAGACATCTTTTGCCATTTTTTAAATAAAATGTTCTAGATTAAAAAGATTTATCTTCAGATGAACAATTATCTAAAATTAAAAACATATGCCAAGATTATAATACTTTACCAAAATTCAAGAAAAAGTTTATCAAACAATACTTGCATCAAGTGGTAAATAACTAAGAAAATTCTAAGATAAATCTACGATTACTAAAGAATCTTGATATAAACATTAAAAACAAACGAAGAAAGGGATTAATATATGAAAAAGTAAGTCAAAATATCATAATCAAACTTCAAAATTAAATAGAGGAAAATATTCTTCCTTCAGCAACAGATGAGGAGATAAATACTTTTTCAGCAAAAATAAATAATTTAAGCCTGACTAAAGTGAGCAAGAAATAAAGGAAAATTATCAATTCAGATTTTGCTATTAAAAATAATTTTTCTTTGAATAAAGCTAACTAAGCTATGTTTATTGGTGGGATGAGAAATGTTAGTTAATAGTCAATCGATCATTTAAATCTTGATAAGTATTTGGAAATTGATTTTGAAAATAGTGAAGTAAATTTATGAATTCAATTTTCATTATTTTTAATATTATCATGAGAAATTTGTCAATATGATAAATGGGGTTTTGGGGTTTTGGGGTTTTGGGG